TAGAGTACTAACTGCTAAGCCTCTGTCAGTGGGCTTTAAGAGGATTTTTTAATTACTTTTTTATAATATCAGTATCACTTCCCAATGATACGCCCTCACCCCTCAATAGAACTCTCCCTAATAAAAAGGAGAGTTAAGCAAAATAAATCAACACACTACATTCAAAAAACAACAGCAAGCATTTATTCATCATCTTTCAAAGATGATGAAAAATAGTATAGGAGCCACTAGAATATGGATAAGGGCAAATGTTCCATTTTTTCCAAAGAGGGAAGTCAAACAAACATTTATTAAGTACCTACTATGTGCCAGGCACTGTGCTAAGTTCTATGGATACAAAGAAATGCAAAAAAGACAGCCCCTGCTCTCAATGAATTCATATTCTAATAGGAAGAGTGAAATATGCAAAATCGAGGCCAGTTAGCTTGAATCTGATTCTTGGTAAAAATTTTAGAATGTATTATTAAAGGGATAATGAGTGAACAGCTAGCAAAGAAAGCAGTGAAAACAAAGAACCACCATGGCTTCATCAAGAAGACAAGACAGAAGACTAATGATTACATTTTTGGACAGGTAATTAGACTGATAGATCAGGGATTGCTGTAAACATGTATGGTAGCTTACCTAGATTTTAGCAAAGCATTTGACAAAATCTCTTAAGCTATCCTTGTGGACAAGATGGATACATATGGGCTAGAAGTACAGTGAGAAAAATTCAAAATCTGGTGAATGACTAGGTCCAAACAGTAGTTGTTAATGGCTCAGGTGTCAGCATGTATGGAAGTCTCTGCAGTTGAATGCACCCAAAGATCTGTCCTTGGCTCAGAGCTGTTTAATACTTTTATCCATGACTTAAGATGGTAAAGGCATGCTTATCAAATCTGCAAAAGACAAATCACTGAGAGGAAAAGCTAACCCAAGGGCTGAACATATGGATCCAAAAAAGACCAATAGGTAGAATGTTGGACTAAATATATTTAGATGAATTTAACAGGGATAAATGTAAAGCCTGTATTCAAAACAAAATTGATGTCAAAAGTACAAGACAGGAAAGACCACTAAACAGAAAGCAGTTCATCTGAAAAAAAAAAAAAACCTGCGGTTTTCAGAGGATAGCAGGACTCAGTGAGCCAATCATGTAATGTGGCAACCAAAAACAAAAAACCCTGCAAATTTAGGCTGCATTGAAAGGTACAGTAACCAATAAAAAGAGGTAGTCATTGTCCCATTATACTCTACACCATGGTGAGACCCCAGCTGGCATGTCAAGTCCTGGGACAAATGTCATTCAGGCTGCTACACCGTACTCAGCACCCCTTGAGAGTCAGCACTACACAGTCTTTCCTACTCATGACTGTGAATGTCTCACACTCTATCCACACTCAAAACACTTTCTGTTAGGTGAGACAGCTCCCAAAATAAACCAGAAAAGTAAGGAAAATCACTTCCAGGAACAAGAAAACACAGAACAAGGGCTGCTTACTTGAATGTCAGCAATTGATGCACTGTTTCAGGAGTGTTCTGGTGATACAATGACGAGGGGAATGAATGGAGGAAGATTTCTAGGTACATCCTCTGAAGGGTGATGCTGCAGGTTGTTGGAGTCTCTGAGGTTTGGGGCCACAGGAAGCATGGTGAAGTTCTTCCCCATGAACATAACACTGACCGCAACCTACCTCTATTTCTCATATCTAGTCTTTATTTTCCAGGGAAATCAGCTTTCTTAGACTGCAGCACAGTAGAAGCAATTATTTGCTTCAGCATGCCCTCAGGCTATTATAATAGGCTTAGAGATACAAAGTTAGAATTAAATTCATGGAATAATAGAACTGATAGAAACCTCAGGAGGTCATCAAGTTGAATCCCAAGCCTTCTGGCAATACTACAGACCAGTCATTTACCCTTTTAAAAATCATTAAATAAGACTCCTTCAGTAACAGACTTAGTAACCTGAGTCTCACAACCATTACAATAAGAGTCCTTTGTAAAATCTTAAAAAAGCCTGATTTTTTCCAGCTTACATTTTAACCCTATTCTTTCATTCTCCCCTCAGGGAAAGAAACAACAACTGATGACCACCACACAAGTTTTTACCTCTATGCCACAGAACTCACTGACCCTCATATTTCCTTGAAAGTTTCAGGTCACATGACCATCTTCTGGGACCCCTAATTTGAGAGTCAAGCCTGAGGATGCAGCAGGTGAAAATTCCCCTGCTTAGTCTATCAAGCATGGAGTTCACAGTGGTCTCCAGTGGGATGAGCTGTTCTCCTTCACTTGAGTCAGTTCCACTGGGTCCCCAGAGGAAGATAGTTCTGTTGATTGCTGCCAAGAAGATTTCTGAATGTAAAGTTCATAATTACATTTTGATTACAGAGGAAGGGGGGGGCCACAGAGAGCGAATGCACATGTAAGAGGTTCCAATTTACTCCAAATTTATGTCCCCAATGACCCTCACAGCTTGTTAGCCACCTCAAATATGCTTTTGCTTAAAAGGACCTTTCTTTATTAGCATGTTTCCATCTGTAAACAATGAGACCCTCTCAACATGACACAGACACTGAGAGTGTCCCAAGGTTATGCACTCTCTAGCTTCGTCCTCTACCTCTACTTTTCTCCGTACAGCTAAAGAACTCTTCAGGATGGGCACACAGCAAGGTAAGATCACACCAGGCATGGTAGGAATAGGAAGACACAAAATGAAGAGTGCTTCACCTAAGTGATTCTAGAATTCATACTTCAATTCCTAACTTCTGAGGATCCCTGTAAAAAGAAAGGCCTATAGCCTATTAGAAAGCTGTAAAGAAAACCATGGAAAGGAAAAGTTGTTAGGGACTTTTGAAAAACCAGAAGACAAAAGTGTAGGGTCAAGGTGGCACAAAGCTCCAGACTAAATTAAAAACAGGGTTTAGATCAACTTTTTATAAGACTGAAGGAAACAGATTTACCTCAGATGTCAAAGCTAACATGTTATAAGGGCACAATGAGGCTGTTTCCTATTTCTCTGTTATAAAGCCACCTTGTATTCCTGAGGGGCACAGAGGAGATATTCATCTCTATTTCTTCAAGGTATTCAATTCTTTGGATAAAATATGACCTTGTCATTTGCATTTGCAGGGAACATCACACTGTTGTTCAACTATGATCCAAGAGTCACCTTTATTCCCCTCCTGCCCCCACCTGAAAATCAGCACCACAAAAAGCTGGGAAAATAAAGTCAGAGGAGCTCTAGGATCCAACATGTTAGTTCCTGAAACATGATTTCACCCAATATTAGCTCTGTCCTCAATTGTCTGGGCTTGCTGCTTCATCATTGCTCCATTATAAGAACTGCCTGTAGGCTCAGCATGAGCTATATTTTTACAAATGTAACAAGATGGCAAAGTAAACGCTGACGACTGCTACAGCATAGAGCAATACAGTCAGCAAGGATGCAATAATAAACCACTGATAATGGACTATTGGCTAGACTACACTGTTGCCACTATCAGTGCTTTCAACTCCACCTTGCTCCGGCTGAGGGGAGGAGTCCACGCAGGACACTGAGAATTACAGCAACCTATCAACCATAGGGTGAAAAATGAGAGTAGAAGAGGGATCCTCCTATAATATTGCAACTGACCCTTATTATCTGCAGAATATAATTTCCATGGCTGAATCAACAGTTCCTACATACAGTGGTCTCATTCCCTTTTCAAAAGAGCATCCAAAGGGAAACTCAGGACAAAGAGGAAAATTAAATGGGCACTAATAAATAATATTTACACAGATTCTCATATACTACTTACTACAAGTGCCAGTGAGGAAGATCTCAAAGTGCCCAACCTTCTCATACCACACACAAACACACACACACACACACACACACACACACGCCCACATCACACTTAATGTTTAAGTACAACCCTTCTCTACAGAATTACAAAAAAACTACCATCTATTCAACTGGGCCCAACCAGAATACTTCCCATCCAACAGATAATAATGATATAGCAGACCAGACACACCACCAGTTCCAGATGTGAAATGGCAACTTACTTTTTCCTCTTCCTCCACAAAGTCCAACTATTCACACTAGATTGGAAATTGAAAAAAAAAAACAATTCTTTCTCTGGGTAAATATTCTACACAATGAAAAACTGACAAAGTCTAGAGATTAAAAAAAAAACCGAGTTGTCATCCTAGGAGGTCGCTTACCCCATGCACTTAGTGCATGGGATGATCCCTAAACCCATTTCCTATGTCCTTTGCCCATTCCTGAAGATTAAAGGGAACTTGAGAGCTGCTTCCCTCCCCCTAGATCCACAGTACTGTTAAAAGGTAAAAAGGGCTAGAAGAGATAAAAGGAAAGTTGAACTTTTTAGTTTCAGTCTCACTATGTGATTTTCTCTGGGCCCTGGGCACAGGCCAGGTTGAAGGTTGAGGCCTCCTCTACCTCAGGGGGTGCCTCCCAACTAAAACAACGTCCAGCTCAAAGGTGGAATCTGCCTTTTCACCTGGAACAGGTGAAAGGCACAGGTCCCTTTAACCGCAGAACAATCCTGCCCTGCACCGATGCTCAGGACTCTCCAGTGAACAATATTTCTGCAGCAAAGAGCTGAACAGCAGAGACCAAAATAGCATTTGCCAAGAGAGGCACATGTCCCTGCCTCTCCTGTGCTTCAGAACTGCAAGGAAAGAAAGTTTTCAATCACTTGCTCAGAAAGCACAGCCACCCACCACCTGCCTGCCGGGGCACTTAAACACTGGAATTTCTGTTCTGCTGGATAATGAACCTCCCCTCAACCTCCCCCCACCACCACCAGTACCTGCCTCACTCACAGCACCGTTCCCCTCCTGCAGGCCAAAGAGAGACTGTTCCTTTCAAAACTGGACTCTCAAGATCAAAAAGAATACGCAGGCTCAATTCGAAGTATATTTTTAGGGTTTGGGTTTTGGTTTTTTTTTGTCAAATCTCTTTGCCAGACAGGAAAGGCTAGGCCTGGAATTAAGCCCATTACCTGGCTGAAGGGTCTGCCATTGGTTCGTGGGATAAAACACATTCAGATCTTCACTGTCAAGTTCTTCCTCTGACGCTGCCTCTTTCTTTTTTTCCTGGATACTGCTCTTCTCTGGACTGGACAGTGAGAAATGTTTCTGTATTTAAAAAAAAATATATAATTTGTGACCCACTATAACTGGGTGGCAGAGAAAACATGACTCAAGGGTTCCACTGGACCATGTTTTCTATACCAGTGATGAAATATGTCAAGGATGAGTAGAGAGAATATGGTTAAGTGGCTGAAATGTGGTATGAATTCAAACACCCAGAGCCTCAAGTAAGGAATATAGCCATAAAAGGTATATCCAGAACCAAACAGGTATGTTTGTTCAAAAGCCATGTCACCTTTCCAGCCTTCTCATACCTGACACTCCCCCTGCTTAGGCACTCTTTCATAAGGAGACACTGGCCTCCTGGCTGTTCCCTCAACAAGACACCAACATCTCAGCTCTAGGCACTTCTTCTGGCTGTCCCCCATGCCTAGAATGCTCTCCCTCCTCATCACCACCTCTTGGTTTTCCGGGCTTTCTTCAAGTTCGAACTAAAATCCCATCTTCTTCTTCCAAGCCTTTCCAAATCCTTCTTAATTCTAGTGCCTTCCCTCTCTTAGTTACTTTCTATTTATCATAAATATATAGTTTCTATGTATACTTGTTCACTTATTGTCTTCCCCACTGGATTGTGAAGTCCTGGAGAGTATCCTCAGTGCCTACCAGCGGCCTGGCACATGGTAGGTGTTAATAAACTTACTGACTATACGGAGGGTAGGAGACTAATCACAATGAAGAGGAAAAAACACCCAGGATAAAATCAGTTTTGAGACACTTTATTCCTTTTCTCCCCTGGAAAGTTAGAAAGGATTAATGAGAAAGGATCGGCAGCACTTCTGAGTTTGAGACAGAGATTTGAAATAAAAATTACTATTTTTTTTCTCTCTTTTCAAGCCTTCTTCCTCCCCCCATGGAATTTTCTTCCTGTTCTAATCTGAGGCTTATAGCAAAGAGGCCAAAAAAGACTGGACCCAGTGATTTTCAGTCCAAACCTGGGGGAGCAAGGTATTGTGGATGGGCTCACGAGTATATCTCTAAGTTGTTATACTCTAGGAAAAACAACCCACCTCAAACAGGAGTAACTGAAACTGACCACTCCATGAAGTACCACTCATGGTACCCTGGACACAAAACTAGATCTGGAGTTCTAAGGTTTGGGGTCAGATCTCAGCTCTGCCATGTACTATAATCAGTGTGACCTGGATCAGCCACTTTGATGTCTGTGGGCATTCAATCTCCTCTACTAACAAAGAAGAGGGAGAGAGGGGTTGAACTAGATCAGTCACCTCCAAGGTCGCTTCCATCTTGCCAACTATGACCCTGCAGTTACAGCGAAGTTAGTATAACAGACCAGCTCTAGAGACAGGAGGCCTTGGTAGGACTCCTGACTCTATCACAAACCAGCGTGAGTGTGGGGAAAGTAACCTTTCTGAGACTGTCTCTTCCTCTATAAAACTGGGGTGCAGTCTGAACTAACTACTTCACGGGGTTATCATGAGACTCTGATAAAGTAATGTAAGTAAAAGCACTTTGTAAATAACCTAGTACTCATAAGCAAATAAGGGGAATGCAGAAAAATTACCTGCCAGCTCTATAAGGAAAATTCTTAACCAAACAAGAGACAGAGAAGATCACAGGAGGTAAAAAGGATAATTTTGATTATATTAAATTAAAAGGTTTTTGCACAAACAAAACCAATGCAGCCAAAAAAAAAAAAAAGCAAGAAACTGCGGGGAAAATTTTATAGCAAATTTCTCTGATAAAGATTTCATTTCTCAAACATATAGGGAATTGAGCTAAATTTATAAAAATAAGAGCCATTCCCCAATTGAAAAATGTTCAAAGGATATGAACAGGCAGTTTTCAGAAGAAGAAATCATATGAAAAACACTATCTACCTCCAGAGAAAGAACTTATAAAGTCTCAATGCAAATTGAAGCAAATTTTTTTCACATTTTCTTGTTTTGTTTTTGTTTTTTTTTTTTTGCAACATGGCTAACTTGGAAACATGTTTTGCATGATTTTATACGTATAACTGATATCACATTTTTTCCTTCACAATGGGTGGAATGGGGATGAGAGGGAGAAAATTCAAAACTAAAAAAATTTTTAATTAATGTTAAAAATGAATAAATAATAAACTTTTAGAAGAACTCACAGCTATCAATAGTCATATGAAAAACTGCACTATATCTCTAATTAGATAAATGCAAATTAAAAGAACTCTGAGGTACAACCTCACACCCATCAGATTGGCTAATATATCAGAAATGGAAAATAACAAATGCTAGAGGGCATGTAGACACCAATGCACTGTTGGTGGAGCTGTAAACTAGTCCAACTATTCTGGAGAATAATTTGGAACTATGCCCAAAGAGCTATAAAACCTGCATACCTTCTGACCCCACAATACTGATATGAGGTCTGTACCCCAAAGAGATCAAAGAAAAAGGGAGCCATATGTACAAAAATATTTACAGCAGCTCTGTGTTGGCAAAGATTGGAAACTGAGGAGATACTCATTAGTTGGGGAATGGCTGAACAAATTGTGTTATATGAATGTAATGGAATACTATTGTGCTATAAGAAATGATGAAAAGGCCGACTTCAGAAAAACCTGGAAAGACTTGTATGCTCTGATGCTGAGTGAAGTGAGTAGAACCAACAGAACGTTGTACACAATAACAGCCACATTGTGAAATGATTAACATTGATAAACTTAACCCTTCCCAACAATACAAGAATCTTAGACATCTCCAAAGGCTCATGATGGAAAATGCTATCCACATCCAAAGAGAGAATTATGGAGTTTGAATGCAGACTGAAGTACACTATTTGCTTTTTTTTTCCTTCTGTTGAGTTTTGTTTCCTCTTTCTGGTGGTTCCTCCTATTGGTTCTAATTCTTACTTACAACATCACTAATGTGAAAATATGTTTAATAGGAATGTATATATATATGTATATATACATATAAATATATATAGCCTCTATCAGATTGTGTGCCATCTTGGGGAGGGTGGTGGAGAGGAAGGGGAAGAAAAATTTTAAACTCAAAAGCATATGGAAGTGATTGCTGATAAATCAAAATAAATTAATAAAAAAAAAAGAAAGAAAGAAATGATGAACAGGCTGACTTCAGAAAAACCTGGGAAGACTTGTATGGACTGATGCAAAGTGAAGTGAACAGAACTAGGAGAACATTGTACATAATAACAGCAATATTGTAATGAAAATCAATTGCAAAAGACTTAGCTATTCAGATCAATACAATGATCCACAGTCGTTCCAAAGGACTCACAATGAAAAATGCTATCCACCCTCCAGAGAGAAAACTCGTGGACTCAAAATGCAAAATGAAGTAAATTTATTTATTTTTCTTGCTGTTTTTTCCCCACAATGTGCTAATGTGGGAATGTTTTGTATGACTTCATATGTATTAAGGATATCATATTTTTTGCTTTCTCAATGGGTTGGGAGAGGGACAGAGGATTTGGAACTGAAAATAAACACACACACACACACACACACACACACACATACACACACCCTAGTACTATTTCCTCATCTATAAGATTTGAGGGCTAGAATAGATTATCTCTACAATCCTTTATAACACAGAATGTATGTTCTATGTGAATGTGATTATAACCCTCTACCCTCTCTACTGACTACCTGGTTTCCAAAATTCCCCCCACCCAGACATGCCCTCCCTCCTGTTTCTTATACTCTCCAGGCCCAGCTTTCAACTAGCAGTGAGAAGAAAAGTAATCAGATAAACTACTCTTTATGCAGTTAAGAGATGATAATGGCTTAATACTTTCCAGACCTCCAAGGGCATTCACATTTTAACAGGGGACCAAGTTTTCATTTAAAGGAATAAATCTCTGCTGCTGGAATAATAGGCCAAATATGAAACCAATCAAAAAGATACTTAAAGATGGAAACCTCTCAGATTACAGTATGCAGGCAGTTGCCAATTTATAAACCTCAATTCTGTATCAGTGGGCAGTCCCTTCACTGTGAGTGACAATATTCAGACACAATTGTATTCTCACTGGGCTAACTCTCCACTTTCCATCTGCAGTTCTACTTGGTCTGAACTTCAGAACATGATGCCCTCTTCCCCCTCCCCCACTGGGTATCTTTCCTGCCCCCCCCATCCTCCCCACACACCCCACCTCATTTTCCAACTTACTTTTGTGTGTGTTCGTCTTCCCACGTTAGACTGTAAGCTCCCAGAGGACAGAAACAGTCTTTTTTCTTATTTATATCCTCAGGGCTTATTATCCCGGCGCCTGGCACAAAATAGGCGCTTAAATATATATTTTATTATACTGTATTCTATACTCCTCTACACTACCTGACCATCCTTCAAGCATCAGATTTGTAGGGTTTCACCTGGGCCCCTAGAAGGTGTGGGAAAGAGAGGCTGGGGCCACTGAGGAACAAGAAGCAAAAGCCTTCCTTGATCTAAACACTCAGTCTTTCTAAAAGGTTTTCAATGGTTTGCACAAATGCCTTTGGGAAGGTGTAATTTCAGGTTGTTGGTACTGTTAGCCTGGGCTCTGGGCACCCATGAATATATCATTAACAATCCATTTTTACTGTTGTGAAGGTGGCTGACTGCATAATTTGGATTTTAAATGCCACCAGGACAGCAATTTTTATGGTATGAGAGAAAAGACACTTCAACTCCTACTTGTGCTTAGCACATGATGAAAGATTATGACAAATGGATACAGCTTAGGAACAGCCATAAGGATAAAAGCAGCTTCTGTTGATGAAAGTCAGTATTAACATTTTTTCTGAGACTAGACTCAATAGAGCTAATATAAATGGGCCAGAATAATTATTGCTCTGAGAGCTCATCTATTTGGTTGGACTATTATCCAAAAGGGACTTAATAACACGAAGTCCTTAAGTAAATTCATCAGCATGCCTTTGTTAATTGTGCATCTGTTAAAGCTCAGAGAAGAGGGAGGGAATCCTCACAAACCTGGGAAACACAAAACTAACTCATTTTCAAGAGGCAAGAACAGGGAAACAACCCCATCTTTGTCCTTCAGTATCCTTCCCAGGGGCACCCAAAGGCCAGCTAGGTCAGACACTCTATAGTTAGGACTCACATTCTATGACCACACATACAGTCACACTGCACAGACAATTCTCAGAACAGGGACACTGTAATCCCATTACTATTCCCCTTTAAGGATGATAATGAAAATGGCTCTGAAAGGATCTTCACGAAAGAGCATTAAAGGTTCAAAGGGACAAATGAATCTAGAGAACACATTTTCTACAAAGCAGGGGTGAAAGCCAAAGGAGAAAACAAATGATTTCAGAAAGAAGGTGAAAATTTGCCACGAGCCAAAGGTAAACCTTGGCAGCGCTAAAGATTTTTATTAATTTGATCACAACTGTCATTTGCACTTTACCCAGTGCTTAGAAGACGGAGCCTCAGGAGGACTCCATGTGGGTGGACCCAAGTTGGCAAGGGAGAGTGAGACTATCAGAGAAACAACAACAAATGCTTCACTCTAAGGCATGGTCAAGGGCAGAAAGGAAATCATAAAGGAAAATAAGCCCAAGCAGATCCTGTGTTTCATGTGCTATTTCCCAGGGTAATGGAATGCCAGCTGTGGTGGAAGCTATGTCAGTGAAGAAAGGATAGAAGAAAGGGAGAGAAAACAGAAGGAAAAAAGAGACAAAAAGAAAGGGATAGAAGGGAAACAGAGTCTTTCCTTGAATCTGAAGGACCTCTATCTGCAATCTCACCTCCATTAGAATCATGAGCTTCCTCACCTTTAGATTTTAAGATACAACTTTCAGAAACTTCTTCCACAACAGATACATTTACATTTACATACATAAATATATACATACATACTTGTATATGTATATTTGTATGTGTGTGTGTTTGTATGCATGCCACAAGCAAGTAGCAACGAACTGTACCCACCTAATGTTGTCTCGGCCATTCAAGTTAGTAGAGGTAATTCTCTCCTCTAGCAGCCCCAAGAAATGCCAGTGATTTCTCTAGCCCAGGTCGAGGTTTCTTCTTGTTCATAAATCAAACACTTACCTGGACAAGATTATTATGGCATGAAGAGATGTATGCAGATGCCAGGAGCCAAAGCACTATGCCCAGTAGGAATAGCTTTGATGGGAGGAGGACCTGGTATGCCATGGTCATCAGCCTAGTGACACAGAAAAGAGGTTAGCATGGATTTAATGACATCTCTGTTCCATTTAACTGCACACCAACCAACCCCATTATTCCCAGTATCCCTGCCGTACATGGATCGGCAGCTTACACTTAGAGCTAGCTTGGGGTTAAGGAGGAGGAAGGGGGAGGGGAGTTAATGTCAACTCTGGTGTCACTTCTTTTTTCTGGATATGCTGCAGCTGTCCAATATATGTGTGAGTACCCCTCTGCTGCCCAGCTCTCCAATATGTTTTACTTGCTTTGCCATCCAGGTAAAAATTTGCTCCAGGCCTTTCCAGATTTTTATCTTCTTAGGCAAAATGGGCAAGTCAAGAACAAAAGGCCTTTGGAAAGTAAAAGACCAATATCATGGCTTTCCCTTCCTCTTTCCCCTCAGCCTGGTGATTGGGTTATTGATGTATCTAAGGAAGTTTCCCCTAATAATAATAATTGCCCCCAGGATATAGCATGATCCACTCGATACCATTCAGAAAGGATTAAGATAGTGATCTAGAAACTCAGAAACTCAGTAGTTGTAGTTGAAGAGTAAGTGATTACAATTCTGGAATGTTTAATCCCAAACTGTAATTTAACATATTATAACCTTTTCCTGATTAAAAATTGCTATAAAAGTTACCTCAAATGGTCTTGGGATAGAGATGTAGAGGACAGAATGTAGCTGGCATGAGAATTATACCAATTTTGATATTTCTCTATTCTAGAAATGCTTGATATAGAATGTTCGGTTAATCATTGTCTATAGCAGATTTGCACTAAAACACAGAGTACAGAATTAATATTTTTTCCCAACAACAGGAAAAGCTACTTGGCTGTTCATACTACTTGTATAAATTAGGAGTCACAAGACTTCCAGTGAGATGGAGGATCACCAGAACTTACCACTCTGGCCTGACCCTGCCTAAGTCATCCAGGACTAGCATATGGTCCATCCCTATCTCCTACAGACCCCTGGACACTATTATCTGACCTTCTGGTGACCCTAAAGATTCCTGAGCCTTACCATCTTATAGCATAATGTTTCAATATGTTGTCTTCTCAACTGGAATCTGAGTTCCTGGAAGGTAGGAACTATCTCATTTTTTCTCCATGTATTCCCAGGGTTTAAGCACAGTGCTTAGGACATATTAAGAGCTTATTTTTTTAATTCACTCACATAATTCACTAAGGTGATACAAAGATGAATTCAACAAATTAAACTTCCCAGCCATTAAGGCCCTAACACTTCACTCACCACAATAGCTTTTCCCAAAGTCTTCATCCCTCCTCAAACCTCTCACGGCTTCCCTTCCCCATACCCTAGGCTGAGAATCTGGCCTCATGTTTTACTGAAAAAAAGTAATACAATTTCCTAGGACTTCCCTCTCCTTGTGTCACATAACTCAGATTTCTTCCCCCACTATTTCTTCCTTCAACCAAGTTCCACAAGAAGCAGCCCTTTTCCTTGACAAAGAAAACCATCTATGTCCACAGGTGATTCTACTCCATCCCACCAGACTATGCACCATAAATCTTCCATCTCTCCCTATATACTGGCTACTACCACGCAGCCTACTAACATAACCATGTCTCCCATCTTAAAAAAAAAAAAATACTCTCAATTGATCCAACCATCCCTGCTATCATCCTATATCTCTTTACTCTTTTCTAGCAAAACTGATTCAGAAAGCTTTCTATAATAGATGCCTTTTCTTCCTATTTTTTACTTATCTTAGGCAACTGCTCTCTATTTCAGTTGATAAGAGCCTTCAGCCTGGAGTCAGGAAGACCTGATTTCAAGTCCAGCCTCCAATACATACTAGCAGTGTGACCTTAGGCAAGTCACTTAACCTCTGCCTGCCTCAGTTTCCTAACCTGTAAAATGGGGATAATAACAGCACCTACCTTACAGAGTTGTTTTGAGAAGCAAATGAGATATTTGCAAAGCCCTTAGCACAGCGCATACACAGTAGACCACATAGTAGGCACTACACAAATGCTATTATTAATTCTCCCTTCTAAACTCTCTATAGTTCATTATTCAACTAAACTTGCTGCCTCCAAAGTTACCAGTTTCTCTTAATTGACAAATCTAATGGCTTTTTCTTAATACTTCTCTTTCAAGACCTCTCTGCAGCCTTTCACACTATCAAACACCCTCTACTCCATTATATTTTGTTTTCATTCATTTGTTTTCATTTTCCCTCCCTTGGTTCTCCTCTTACTCCCAAGGCTAGGTGGAACCTCAATAAAAGATTCATTTGGTGTTCTAATCAATTCTTGGATTAAATTATCTCTACATAGATGATTCTCAGACCTGCTTATATCTCCTGACTTCCAGTCTGGTAATTGCCTTATCTGGACCTAGATGTTCTCACTATGTCCAAAACTGAACTTCTTTTCCTCTTCAAATGTTCCTATTACTTGTCTGGAAGGAACCACCATCTTCCTGGCCACCCAAGCTCACAACCTGGGTGTCATCCTTGACTCCTCACCCTCTCTCACCCTCCATATGCAAGCCATCACCAAGTCGATTCTACATTCCACAGGTCTATCTATATATGCCCCCCATTCTTTTCTGACACTGCTACCACCCTGGTACAGGTCTTCATTATCTCACACCTGGATTAATGCGATAACCTGCAGGTTGCCTCAAGTCTCTCTGGTCCATACTGGTCCAAACTTCACTCATCTAAGTGATCATCCTAAAGCACCTTGTTATCTCCCCCCTTCCCACTCCCCCATTACCTCCAGAATCAAATACAAAAACCTGTTTGGCTTTTTAAGTCCTTCATCCCCTAGTCCTTTCCTACCTTTCCTATTTTCTTATACTTTATTCCCCTCCATGAGCTCCATGAGACACGCAGACAGATTAGATACAGCTATAGATACAGAATCTTATTTTAACAGTTGTTTCCTTTTTCTCTCCCCTCCTAGAATGCAAACTCCTTAAGGACAGTGACAGCATTTTTGCCTTTCTTTGTGTCCCCCAAAGCTTGGCATAATGCCTGACATATAGTAAGCCCTTAATCAGATTTTTGACTTAACTTGAAAAAGCACTAAACTGGGAGGCAGTGAACCTAAAATGTGTCATTCCCTAGCTGTGTGATTTTGAACATGTCTTTTTACTTCTGTGGGCCTCAGTTTGCCCAGGCCCATCTGTAAAATTATAGGATTGGATCGGATAATACTTGAGGTTCTTCCAGTTCTATTACAGAGTATAAATTCCAAATAGCCAGCAGCAATTTAGCTACAACCAGACTCTGAGTTGAGAACAACCATTCTCAAGTAGTAGGTTACCTCCACAACGGCCATAGCTATGACCTAACTACTGGTGAGCCCTGCTAAGTTAGCTAGCCCAGAGAAGGAACAGCAAACCAAAATGAAACTAAAATCCTTATATACGAGAAAACCAAGCTTATAATTCTTCTATACTGTACATCCTTTACTATGAATCATACATGCAGAAATTATTCCATTCATATCCCAATACCATCACATCCCCAAAAGCCTTCTGTCTGCCAGCAGGCCATAAAGACACTGGCACAATACTCCCCACTTAACTTTACCAGAACATTGGCCTTAAAATCCCTACAAGACTTTTGCCAAGCAGTTTCCCTGCTTGCCTATGAGAGCCTAATTTCCACCTTTATCTCTTAACACTAAAACCACACCTTCCTCATTATCCTTCTAAAGGACTATGTAGCATCAAGTAACAGAAATCCTCCCTTCAATAAAATCAAAGACTGCCCTATTCTTAACCTTATGGCCCCAGAGGGGCAGGCTAGGTGGTACAGAGGATAGAGTGCTGGGCCTGAAGTCAGGAAGACTCATCTTCCCAAATTCAAATCTGGCCTCAGATGCTTACTAGCTGTGTGACCCCGTACAAGTCACTTAACCCTGTTTGCTTCAGTTTCCTCATCTCTAAAATGAGCTGGAGAAGTAAATAGCAAACCACTTCAGTATTTCTGCCAAGAAAACCTCAAATGAGGTCACAAAGAGTCAGGCACAATTTAACAACAACATGGCACAAGAGGCTGAAAATTCCCCAGCTAACAACAGGTTAAGGCAGAGCTGGAGTTAAGGTTGGGGAGGAAGTGAATGAAATAGCACTCAAAAAATGAACTTTATGTCAATGAACTCAAGAAATTATTAGCCAGGCCCATAGTTTAGAACCTTGGCCACTGTTAACAATAACATTCTGTGATTATGGATTTGATCCTACAACCTTGTGATGCCCCAACAGTTCGTTGTTCCAAGTTTTTGTTCCCTTTCCTATCCAGAGTAGTACAGGTTTCTCTCGAGGCAAAAGATCTTTAAGCTCTCTTTGAGGCACTGACAGGAGTAGGGATTTCAGAATATGTCAGTAGCTCTGGGATTCATTCTAATCGTAGCCTACATTGATCATGCATGAGTAGGGGGGCAGGTAAGTGGCACAGTGAGAAAGTGGCAGGCCTGAAGTCAGGAGGATCTGAATTCAAAGTGTCAAAATCAGATACTCATTAGCTGTGTCATCCTGGGCAAGTCACTTAACCTCTGATTGCCTCAGTCTCCTCAACTCTAAAATGGAGATAATAGTACCCACCTCCCAGGGCTGTTGTGAGGTTCAAATAAGAATATTTGTAGTGAGCACTACATAAATGTTAGTTGTTACTATTATTATGAGTTGTCTATTATCCCCTCCTCCTGCCATAATACATAGAATTACAATAGTTTAATTCCTAGGTTTATTTATACTAATTCAAATATCCCTGCTGAATCTCATCCCCACACCTTCCTATTACTCCTTCCTACAATTTCCCAAGGAATGAAAACATGAAATTGTTGGGTTGTGATTATCACAGTTCCTAAACCCGATTCTGGGGGTGGGGTGGGGTGAAGAAGACAGCCGTTCCCAAGAAGCCTTTCCCTACCCCTCTTAATCTAGTGCCTTCCTTCCATGGATTATTTCCTATTTATACTGTATATAGGTTGTTTATATATATTTGATTACAT